AAAAAAAAAAAAAAAAACAAAAAGATGAAAAGCAAATTATCTGGGTGTGGTGGCGCATGGCTATGTTCCAGCCCGGGAGGTCAAGGCTGCAGTGAGCTGGGATCACATCGCAGCACTCCAGCCTGGGTGACAGAGCGAGACCCAAAAAATAAATAAATAAAAAATAGAAGTTTTTTATTTTAAAAAATATATTTTAAAATATTTATTTATTTATTTTGAGACATGGTGCTGTCTCAAAAAATAAATAAGTTAAAAAAAAAAGCAGGGCCGTACACGTGTACAATAAACCAACTCACTGGACTAGGGTTATATGGTCTCAGATCCATCCCTCCCTCAGTGCCTTTGGCCAGGCACGGTGGCTCACGCCTGTAATCCCAGCACTTTGGGAGGCGGAGGTGGGAGGATCACCTGAGGTCAGGAGTTCGAGACCAGCCTGGCCCACATGGCATATCCCTGTCTCTAGTAAAAATACACAATTTGGGCGTGCTGCTGGGCACCTGTCATCCCAGCTGCTTGGGAGGCTGAGGCAGGAGACTCGCTTGAACCTGAGGGGCAGAGGCTGCACTGAGATGAGGTCATGGCACTGCACTCCAGCCAGGGTGACAGAGTGACGCTCTGAACTCCCGACCAAAAAAAAAAAAAAGTGTCTTTGTTTGAGCTCTGACCTCACAAACCTTCATCACCTGGTGGAGAGGTGGCCCGTGGACCTCTTCCCCAACCCACGCCCATGGCAGACATCACCAGCAGATCACAGCAAAATCCACCTCGGGCAGACAGTAGCAATTGAGAAGACACCCAATATTGAGAAAAATCCCCACGCCTGGAGGAAGGGGCTTCCATTGGCCTGTGCGTGCAGGGGCACAGATGTTGGGGGAAAGATTTGAGCCTTTATTTTATTTTTATTATTACTTTTTTGAGACGGAATTTCGCTCATGTTACCCAGACTGGAGTGCAATGGTGCGATCTCGGCTCACCGCAACCTCCGTCTCCTGGGTTCAGGCAATTCTCCTGCCTCAACCTCCTGAGTAGCTGGGATTACAGGCACGCGCCACCATGCCCAGCTAATTTTTTTTTGTATTTTTAG